CAGAGACCCTGCAGTAACGCACACCCCTCCCGCCCCCAGCAACAACATGCTGTACCCCAAGGAGGACAAGGAGAACCGGATCCTGCTCTACGCCGTAAGTGCCTCCCACACCACAGCCACTGGGACCAGTCCCAGGGTACTGGCCTGTGTGCCCCCAGCCCCAATGCGGTACTGGGATCAGTGCTGGGGATATACTGAGACCAGTCCCACCATGATAGCGGGCTGTGCCCACCCCCTGCAGCCCCCACTGGGGGACTGGGACCAGCCCCAGTGCTTCATGAGGCATGCCCCACCCCTCCCAGTTTGGTACTGCGACCACTCTGTAACCCCTGCTCTTCCCCCAGTGCCGCAACTGTGACTACCAGCAAGAGGCCGACAACAGCTGCATCTACGTCAACAAGATCACCCACGAAGTGGAGTGAGTTTGTTAGTGGTCCTGGTCCCAGCATCTCCCATCCCAGGGGGAGGTGTCAGTAGACACTAATTAATAAAGGAAAAGCAATTAAAAAGAACTGGTGGGGTAGTTAACAAGATGATAATTAGTTAAAGTAGGAATTAGGGTAATTAATAAGAGAATAATTAGCACAAGATAATGAGTGATTAATAAGGGGAAGCAATAAGGGATGGTGAATGCAGAACAATTAATGGGTAGAATTAATAATGGAGAGCAGTTCTTGGGTAGTTAATAAGAATAATTAGTAAAGAGGTAATTGGGGCGGTTAATAAGAGCAATCGAGGGGCAACTGGTAGGTAATTAATAAGGGGACACAATAAGGTAGAGGGCAATTAATGTAGAGGCAATTAATAGGGGTAATTATTTAGGGTAATTAATGAGGTTGATGCTGGAGTTATTAATAGCGTGGTGGTAATTAAGGGAGGTAATTAATGCCCTGGGTTGTCTCCTTGCAGTGAGCTCACGCAAATCATCGCTGACGTCTCCCAGGACCCCACGTTGCCCCGCACTGAGGACCACCCCTGCCAGAAGTGAGCCAGGACGTGGGGACCCCCCTTCGTCCCACCATGGGGATGTGGGGAACCCCGTGGGGAACCCCGGGGGGATGCTGGGGACCCCCTGGGGATGTGGAGACACCCACAGGGACATTGGCCCCCCACCGCCACGCAGCTCTGGGGGGCCTCCTGGCCCCTCCCTAGCCCCGGTGTCCCACTTTGCCCCTGCCATAGCTCTGGCATCCCCCATGGGACTCTTACACCATCACTGCTGTCCCTCTCTCCGCCAGGTGTGGGCACAAGGAGGCCGTCTTCTTCCAGTCACACAGTGCCAGAGCTGAGGTGAGGTGACCCCCCTCAAGCCCTGCACCCTCCTAAAACTGTC